GGATAGAGCAGACCTCCACGCTCTTCACTAGGATAGAGCAGACCTCCACGCTCTTCACTAGGATAGAGCAGACCTTCACGCTCTTCACTAGGATAGAGCAGATCTCCAGGCTCTTCACGAGCATAGAGCAGACCTCCAGGTACTTCACGAGCAAAGAGCAGACCTCCAGGTACTTCACGAGCATAGAGCAGACCTCCAGGTACTTCACGAGCATAGAGCAGACCTCCAGGTACTTCACGAGCATAGAGCAGACCTCCAGGTACTTCACGAGCATAGAGCAGACCTCCAGGTACTTCACGAGCATAGAGCAGACCTCCAGGTACTTCACGAGCATAGAGCAGACCTCCAGGTACTTCACGAGCATAGAGCAGACCTCCAGGTACTTCACGAGCATAGAGCAGACCTCCAGGTACTTCACGAGCATAGAGCAGACCTCCAGGTACTTCACGAGCATAGAGCAGACCTCAAGGTACTTCACGAGCATAGAGCAGACCTCAAGGTACTTCACGAGCATAGAGCAGACCTCAAGGTACTTCACGAGCATAGAGCAGACCTCCAGGCTCTTTACTAGGATAGAGCAGACCTCCAGGCTCTGCACTAGGATAGAGCAGACCTCCAGGCTCTGCACTAGGATAGAGCAGACCTCCATGCTCTGCACTAGGATAGAGCAGACCTCCAGGCTCTGCACTAGGATAGAGCAGACCTCCAGGCTCTGCACTAGGATAGAGCAGACCTCCAGGCTCTGCACTAGGATAGAGCAGACCTCCAGGCTCTGCACTAGGATAGAGCAGACCTCCAGGCTCTGCACTAGGATAGAGCAGACCTCCAGGCTCTGCACTAGGATAGAGCAGACCTCCAGGCTCTGCACTAGGATAGAGCAGACCTCCAGGCTCTGCACTAGGATAGAGCAGACCTCCAGGCTCTGCACTAGGATAGAGCAGACCTCCAGGCTCTGCACTAGGATAGAGCAGACCTCCAGGCTCTGCACTAGGATAGAGCAGACCTCCAGGCTCTGCACTAGGATAGAGCAGACCTCCAGGCTCTGCACTAGGATAGAGCAGACCTCCAGGCACTTCAGGAGGATAGTGAACATAGTGGGATAGTGAACATAATTTCCTGCCCGAAACGCTTTGCGTAATAGTGGCTTTAGGCATTGTATGTACTAGCTCCTATCTATAAAGCCAACAAACTTTGTAAAACCTCTTTATGTATGTACCTTTGCCTAAATAAAATATTATTATTATTATTATATATATAACGATCAGCGCCACGATTCATCAAGCTACGATACGCAAGCACTTACGATCCTGCACATCTTTTCTCAATCTTTGGCGGCTTTGTTTACAATTATTAAACCGTTCATGAGCACCGAAACTCACCAACCAAATTTTATTGTCATAAACAACAAGCAGGCTGGACTGTGATCCTGTGGTCTCGGGTTCGATCTCGGGCGCCGGCGAGAAACAATGGGCAGAGTTTCTTTCACCCTATGCCCCTGTTACCTAGCAGTAAATAGGTACCTGGGTGTTAGTCAGCTGTCACGGGCTGCTTCCTGGGGGTGGAGGCCTGGTCGAGGACCGGGCCGCGGGGACACTGAAAGCCCCGAAATCATCTCAAGATCACCTCAAGATAACCTCCTTGGGGCTTCGGAGCTCATAATCTGTTTAATATTGTTGAGTAAACAAATATTGTGTAATACAGCGTTTAGTAAACAAAGCCGCAAATGATTGAGAACAGATGTAGAGGTTCCTGAGGTTCCTTGTTTACACCTGCTTAATGAACACTTGGCCCCAGGTGTCCGGCGGGCGGGGGGGGGGGGGGGGTACTAAGATTATCATATGTGAAGAACAGAAGCTTTTTATCAAGTCGGTGAAGCATTTACCAAGCAGTGAAGGGGGGATAATGGTGCTGTTCTAGAGTGCTTGTTCTCAGACGGTCCGTGATCTGAGACTTCAAGTGCCATTTTGGCGGGTATAATGCGCCCAGCGTCGAGACTTTCGACGTTGAAGTACGTTGGCGAACACTATAATCAACAACAGAATTAGGTCGAGTATTTCAGAGCATAACACTTCAATAGTTTCATTACATTGGAAATTTTGGAACGTGGGGAGGGGGAGGCAGGGACGCTTGCAATGGACGCAGGGACGCGTGCAATGGAGGCAATGGACGTAGGAACGCGTGCAATGGACGTAGGAACGCGTGCAATGGAGGCAGGGACGCGTGCAATGGACGCAGGGACGCGTGCAATGGACGCAGGAACGCGTGCAATGGACGCAGGGACGCGTGCAATGGACGCAGGGACGCGTGCAATGGACGCAGGAACGCGTGCAATGGAGGCAGGAACGCGTGCAATGGAGGCAGGAACGCGTGCAATGGAGGCAGGAACGCGTGCAATGGAGGCAGGAACGCGTGCAATGGACGTAGGAACGCGTGCAATGGACGTAGGAACGCGTGCAATGGAGGCAGGAACGCGTGCAATGGAGGTAGGAACGCGTGCAATGGAGGCAGGAACGCGTGCAATGGAGGAAGGAACGCGTGCAATGGAGGCAGGAACGCGTGCAATGGAGGCAGGGACGCGTGCAATGGAGGCAGGAACGCGTGCAATGGAGGCAGGAACGCGTGCAATGGAGGCAGGAACGCGTGCAATGGAGGCAGGAACGCGTGCAATGGAGGCAGGAACGCGTGCAATGGACGCAGGTACGCGTGCAATGGACGCAGGGACGCGTGCAATGGAGGCAGGAACGCGTGCAATGGACGTAGGAACGCGTGCAATGGAGGCAGGAACGCGTGCAATGGAGGCAGGAACGCGTGCAATGGAGGAAGGAACGCGTGCAATGGAGGAAGGAACGCGTGCAATGGAGGCAGGAACGCGTGCAATGGAGGCAGGAACGCGTGCAATGGAGGAAGGAACGCGTGCAATGGACGTAGGAACGCGTGCAATGGAGGCAGCAATGGACGTAGGAACGCGTGCAATGGAGGCAGGAACGCGTAGGAACGCGTGCAATGGAGGCAGGAACGCGTGCACGCGTGCAATGGACGTAGGAACGCGTGCAATGGACGCAGGGACGCGTGCAATGGACGGAACGCGTGCAGGAGGACGCGTGCAATGGACGCGTGCAGGGACGCGTGCAATGGAGGCAGGAACGCGTGCAATGGAGGCAGGAACGCGTGCAATGGAGGCAGGAACGCGTGCAATGGAGCAGGAGGCACGCGTGCAATGGAGGCAGGGGACGCGTGCAATGGAGGCGGACGCGTGCAATGGAGGCAGGGACGCGTGCAATGGACGTAGGAACGCGTGCAATGGAGGCAGGAACGCGTGCAATGGACGCAGGAACGCGTGCAATGGACGCGGAACGCGTGCAATGGACGCAGGGACGCGTGCAATGGACGTAGGAACGCGTGCAATGGACTCAGGGACGCGTGCAATGGACGCGTGCAGGGACGCAGGAACGCGTGCAATGGAGGAAGGAACGCGTGCAATGGACGTAGGAACGCGTGCAATGGACAGGAACGCGTGCAATGGAGACGCGTGCAATGGAGGCAGTAGGAAGGAACGCGTGGAGGCAGGGACAATGGAAGCAGGAACGCGTGCAATGGAGGCAGGAACGCGTGCAATGGAGGCAGGAACGCGTGCAATGGAGGCAGGGACGCGTGCAATGGAGGGAGGCAGGGACGCGTGCAATGGAGGCAGGAACGCGTGCAATGGACGCAGGGCGTGCAATGGAGGCAGGGACGCGTGCAATGGAGGAAGCAGGAGGACGCGTGCAATGGACGCAGGGACGCGTGCAATGGACGTAGGAACGCGTGCAATGGACGCAGGGACGCGTGCAATGGAGACGCGCGTGCAATGGAGGTAGGAACGCGTGCAATGGACGTAGGAACGCGTGCAATGGAGGCAGGAACGCGTGCAATGGAGGCAGGAACGCGTGCAATGGACGTAGGAACGCGTGCAATGGAGGCAGGAACGCGAGCAATGGACGTAGGAACGCGTGCAATGGAGGCAGGAACGCGTGCAATGGAGGAAGGAACGCGTGCAATGGAGGCAGGAACGCGTGCAATGGAGGCAGGAACGCGTGCAATGGACGCAGGGACGCGTGCAATGGAGGCAGGAACGCGTGCAATGGAGGCAGGAACGCGTGCAATGGAGGCAGGAACGCGTGCAATGGAGGCGCGCGTGCAATGGAGGCAGGAACGCGTGCAATGGACGCAGGGACGCGTGCAATGGACGCAGGGACGCGTGCAATGGAGGCAGGAACGCGTGCAATGGACGTAGGAACGCGTGCAATGGAGGCAGGAACGCGTGCAATGGAGGAAGGAACGCGTGCAATGGAGGCAGGAACGCGTGCAATGGAGGCAGGAACGCGTGCAATGGAGGAAGGAACGCGTGCAATGGACGTAGGAACGCGTGCAATGGAGGCAGGAACGCGTGCAATGGACGTAGGAACGCGTGCAATGGAGGCAGGAACGCGTGCAATGGACGTAGGAACGCGTGCAATGGAGGCAGGAACGCGTGCAATGGAGGAAGGAACGCGTGCAATGGACGTAGGAACGCAGGACGCAGGGACGCGTGCACGCGTGCAATGGAGGAAGGAACGCGTGCAATGGACGCAGGGACGCGAGCAATGGAGGCAGGAACGCGTGCAATGGAGGCAGGAACGCGTGCAATGGAGGCAGGAACGCGTGCAATGGAGGCAGGAACGCGTGCAATGGAGGCAGGGACGCGTGCAATGGAGGCAGGGACGCGTGCAATGGACGTAGGAACGCGTGCAATGGAGGCAGGAACGCGTGCAATGGAGGAAGGAACGCGTGCAATGGACGTAGGAACGCGTGCAATGGACGCAGGGACGCGTGCAATGGAGGCAGGAACGCATGCAATGGAGGCAGGGACGCGTGCAATGGAGGCAGGGACGCGTGCAATGGAGGAAGGAACGCGTGCAATGGACGTAGGAACGCGTGCAATGGAGGCAGGAACGCGTGCAATGGAGGAATGAACGCGTGCAATGGACGTAGGAACGCGTGCAATGGACGCAGGGACGCGTGCAATGGAGGCAGGAACGCGTGCAATGGAGGCAGGGACGCGTGCAATGGAGGCAGGGACGCGTGCAATGGAGGCAGGGACGCGTGCAATGGAGGCAGGAACGCGTGCAATGGAGACGCGTGCAATGGAGGCAGGAACGCGTGCAATGGAGGCAGGGACGCGTGCAATGGACGTAGGAACGCGTGCAATGGAGGCAGGGACGCGTGCAATGGAGGCAGGAACGCGTGCAATGGAGGCAGGAACGCGTGCAATGGAGGAAGGAACGCGTGCAATGGAGGCAGGGACGCGTGCAATGGAGGAAGGAACGCGTGCAGGGACGCGTGCAATGGAGGCAGGAAGGAACGCGTGCAATGGAGGTAGGAACGCGTGCAATGGAGGCAATGGAGGAAGGAACGCGTGCAATGGAGGAAGGAACGCGTGCAATGGAGGAAGGAACGCGTGCAATGGAGGAAGGAACGCGTGCAATGGAGGCAGGAACGCGTGCAATGGACGTAGGAACACGTGCAATGGAGGCAGGAACGCGTGCAATGGACGTAGGAACGCGTGCAATGGAGGCAGGAACGCGTGCAATGGAGGCAGGAACGCGTGCAATGGACGCAGGAACGCGTGCAACTCTAGTAGCCAGGCATTTTGTCCAAGTGATCGTCTAATATCTTGCAGTCTTTCATTGTGTTTATCATCCTAAATTTGTGCATCACAAGAGAACACTGAGAATGTTGTTGTTGTTTAAGATTCGCTACCTGGAACAAAAAGTTCCAGTAGCACGGGCTATGGCGAGCCCGTCGACACTGAGAAGTATTTTATCCCCCCCCCCGGCAGGTCCTTCACGTAGATTAGGAACATGACTGGCTCCAGTAGTGACCCTTGTGGAACACCATTGGCAACCTTCCGCCACTCCGAGGCGTATTCCATCGCTGTGGCTCTCTGTCATCAACTACAGAGGTACTCCTTTATAAACTCAAGTAACTTCACCAGTTTCTCCAATTTGTACACGAGCCTCTTGTCCAGTACTGTGCCGAGGGCTTTCTGGCAGTCAAGAAATATACAATCAGCCCTCAGTCGCCCCGTCATAATACTCTCAAGTTTGAGAAGCAGGTGTCCCCATGGCTGAGCACACCGTCATAATACTCTCAAGCTTGAGAAGCAGGTGTCCCCGTGGCTGAGCACATGCTGGTGCTGTGTTAGCAAGCTGAGGCGTTCTCCAGGTATTCAGCGGAAATCTCACATTTGGAAGGGAAAGGGAATTACCTGGAGAAAGCACCAAGGCTATAAGCAATTACAAGGGGTCAGGATAAGGATTTTCGATGGGACGGGGGGGGGGGAAGGAATAGTGCCCCACCACTTGCACGTTCGGGGATTGAACGCCGACCAGCATGATGCTAGACCGTCGCTCTACCGTCCACCCCAAGTGCTTCGGTGGTAAATGTATAAAACAAAAACGAACACGAATAATTTTTGAAATAATCCCCCGTAGTAGATACGTGCTAAGGCTAATTTACTGAAGTGGGCACGTCAGATGGTACACGTCCACGAAAATATTCAATGTTCGTCCATGTGGTACTAACGTACAAAGCATGTAAACAAAGACAGCGTGTTGCATAACCTGAACTGGAAAACAAATGCATTACTGAGAATATGCTGGCACGCGCTACGCAGACACTGGAGTTGCTTATGGATCACATATCAATATCAATGTGTTTTTTAGATTGATCGGGCTCTGCATAATGCACGATATATGCAGCGTAATTTGTCATTCAGAAAACACAAACTCAAAAAACAAAAGCCAGTCACGAATACAAGCTCCAAAAACACGCCGACTAGTGCACGAGAGTGAAATGCGTCACCGAGTACGATTACTGAATGAGAGGAAGAAGAAGAAATGAATAGTCATGATTAATGGCAAAATGATGATTCCAGACGTACAATTGGGGGGATGATTAATATGATTACACGTGACGCGTTTCCCACCATGGCCTGAGATTAATAGGTGTATCGGCGTACCAAAACAGTGGTTAGGCCACAAACTATCGTACCCAGTGACCACAATGATGGTGACTGATAATGAAAGGAAGATGATGACTATGTATATAATGTATAATTTGATAAATTACTAGGAGATGATGCATGGAACATGACAAGGAATGGCTCTAGAAAGACTAAGACAACACCAAGCCTCACTGATTAACAATAAATCAAAATTAGTCAAACGACTAAATGATTGTTTATGCCACGGATGATTCAGGCGTCGGGCCGCAAGGTAACGAGATCTCGGTAAAAGAAGAGGATTAGAGGCTCTTTTCTCTCTCTCTCGGTTAGGAAGGGGGGGGGGGGGTAGAAAAAATGGAGGTGAAAGGGAAACAATTAGTAAAATGGTATGATAAACAGGCTTCGTGCTCTGGATGTCGCCGAGAAGACCAACACAAAGCTTCGAGCATATATACATATACCATTACCGCACAGGAGAAAGTGGTGATGTAATTCCTTACACAAATTTATAACTATCTGGTCAGATTAGAATGAGGAACTAAATAATCCGAGAGGTGTGGATAGTGATCTTTGTCAACACCCACACCCCTACTTTCGGGCAGGTGGGGGGGGGGGCGGTTTCATGCTCTAATTCTCCTTCCATATTGGCCAATTGCTTGTTAACTAACCTCAGCAGTGACGCATTCAAACTGTTTGTTTACGCACTGCGTGTGCGTAATAGAAAACGGTATTTTCTCAAACGTGTTATTTATTTAGTATTACTAATATAATAATTTTGTTTACAGTTACAACCCGTCCTCGACTCAAGTCCATTACATCCAGCGGTCGACCCCACAGACGCATTCATAAATTTTTACATGCTGTTCATTCAAAACAGGAATTTTCTCAAATATAAATTAATATTATAATATATTAGCATATTGTGCATATATAGGCATAGGTTAGGTGTTTAGGTTCTGTTGGCGATTATTTGTATTTGTAGTACGTGGGTGAAGCATTTACAGCGTTGTGGTTCGAACAAAATTCGTCAGTGAAGCACTTGTTCCGGAAGTGTTCGAACGAAATCAGTTGTGAGTCGTGTGTAAACCGTTTTTCATTCATAAACAGGGGGTTTGGCGGGTGGATGGAATCACTTTTGGGTCTTTGTTTGGAGGACGGGCTGTTGTTCCGAGTAGCTGAATCTAAAACAACAACTACTGATGACGTTTGACAGCCCGTCCTCCAAACAAAGACCCAAAAGTGATTCCATGCTCCCGCCAAACCCCTTGTTTATGAATGAAAAGCGGTTTACACACGACTCACAACTGCTGACGTTCGAACATATCCGGAACAAGTGCTTCACTGACGAATTTTGTTCGAATCACAACGCTATAAATGCTTCACCCACGTACTACAAATAATCGCCAACAGAACCTAAACACCTGACCTAACCTATGCTTATATATACACAATATGCCAATATATTATAATATTAATTTATACTTGAGAAAATTCCCGTTTTGAATGAACAGCAAGTTAAAATTTATGAATGCGTCTGTGGGGTCGACCGCTGAATGTAATGGACTTGAGTCGAGGACGGGTTGCGTTCGAACACTTCCGGAATAAGTGGTTCACTGATGACTTTAGTTCGAACCGCAACGCTGTAAATGCTTCACCCACGTACTACAAATACAAATAATCGCCAACAGAACCTAAACACCTAACCTAACCTATGCCTATATATGCACAATATGCTACTATAATATTAATTTATATTTGAGAAAAGTTATGTTTTGAATTAACAAAATGCTAAAATTGATGAATGCGTCTTTGGGGTCGACCGCTGGATTGAATGGACTTGATGTAGTTTCTCCGTGTGGACGGTTGACCACATCTGGATATGGCCAGTGTGGGAACATTGTTGTCAATCGAGTGTTTATAGTTTTACCTTGATTTATTCCCATATTTGGTTGCCGTATTATTGTATGGAATGTTGTACCAGTGTTTACTACTCTTTAGTTTGACAATGTTTTGAATATTAGTGCTGCATTTTGTTATTAGAATTTCTCCAATGTTTATGTGGATGTTTGGTTGATTTTTTGGTAGACGCTTGGCCTGCGGACCAAGGCGTGGGCAGAAGCGTGGCAGCAGTTATCGAGAGGAGATGTGTTGTTAAGTTAAGTCAGTTGTCACTGTTATTTTTAGTTCCTAAAAAAGTAATTACCCTGGTTAGATGATATTGTTTATCTCTCTCTAATTAATCCATGTCTTAGTGATAGTGCTCATGTCTCAATAAGGAGGTTATTCTATGGTTTGCATGCTGAAGAATATTTCTGGGTATTTATTTATACATTTAAATATTGTTATGTTTGTCCCCCTTAGCATAAATATATATTGTTCTCCATTTTATGCAGTGATGTATTTATACCCCTAGACAAAAGTTGGCAAGGCCGAGTTATCATTTTCTATACACTGCGAGGAGAAGAACCTTATTTAGTCTCAAGGGTGGTAACAACTTGGTCCAAGGACGGGTTGCCAAATTGACAATAATCTACAAGATATATTGTCACACAATCGGCTTGAGAATGATCCAGGACGGACCGAAACGTCGTCGTCCCTTCACTTTCTAGTGTGTGGTCTGGTCTACAAGACAGATATTGTCTCGCACGCCCGCGGGGATTTTGAGCGGCAGAAAATTATTTATTGTTATTACACATATTTCACCATTTTTTTTATGGAGAAAGAATGAGAATGCTTTTAAGTATTCTTTAAGACATCTGTTGTGGCTGCCAATAATGATTAAAATGGTTAAATTGAAATGGTACAGTTGTACCATTCTGCGCACGCACAAGCTAAGGGTGTGAGAGCAAGAAAGACACCCCTATGAACCATAGAGGTACAACTATGTTGTATAGGAGTCGTGGGAATGTCATTGTTATTACTGTGTCGTCTAGTTAAACTTAAACCACAATTTAATAGACACGGTAAGACAAATAAAAATCCATTGCATTATGAACAGTAGCTAGAAATTCAGAGCTCAAGCTCAATCTGGCAGTCACTAACAGGCGAGTACACTATACAACTGAAACTCAAAACAGAATGTAAAAAAAAATCAAAGATGAACGACTAGCATAAAAATTAAAAATAATGTGTTTAATGATACCTGACTTGAAAAGAAAATGAGAAAATCTGAACTATTTCCAAATCACCAAACCGCACTTCTTAACCTGTTGACCCAAAGGGGTGACTAATGCAGTATTGCCGGAAATCCACACACACAATTCATCGCTCACTGAACGATAATAATGGGTCTTTTGAGGTCCAGATTTCCCGTTTAAGTTCACCTGCCGCTCTCAGGCCGGCAAGAAATTGGTTGTTGATCACTGCGAGAATGTTTATTAAAAATATAAACTTTACTTCAGTCTCTCCTTCTCGCCACGAGGTCTTGACTCTCCACCTCCCCCTCAAGGTCTTGCCTGCTGACTCTCCACCTCCCCCTCAAGGTCTTGCCTGCTGACTCTCCACCTCCCCCTCAAGGTCTTGCCTGCTGACTCTCCACCTCCCCCTCAAGGTCTTGCCTGCTGACTCTCCACCTCCCCCTCAAGGTCTTGCCTGCTGACTCTCCACCTCCCCCTCAAGGTCTTGCCTGCTGACTCTCCACCTCCCCCTCAAGGTCTTGCCAGCCGACACTCCACCTCCCCCTCAAGGTCTTGCCAAGCG